ATTTTCATAATAGTTTAGAGGCAGGACAAGTGTACAACTTCTCCCACATTTCTTTCACAGCAAAAGGTATTCTGAAAGATTTTCTTCCAATTCTGGAAGTACTTTATAGCCTTTGATTATCAGTCATATTGTTGGTAGACCCAAGTATGTTAATTCCTCCTTTAAAGATATCCATGTTGGTGGCCATCAGAACAGCTTATGGTAACAAATTCCATAATTCAACTATGGGCTGGATAAAGGACTTCCTTTCATATGGGCAGTTCCATTTCAATCCCTTCCCTAATAAACTCTAAAATAGAAGTTGCCCTTTTCCCAGCTGTTTTCTGGTTGGTTACCACCAGCTCATTCCCCAGATCTGTGTATATTCATTTAGAATCCCCCTGCCAGAACAGAGATCATTATACACTTTTTTACACTGAACCACATTTGCTCTTTTATTATACATTTTACTCATTCTGAGATATCATCTTGGAGTTCTTTGCAATTGATTTTTGTTTTACTACTCCAAATAATTTGATAGTTTCAGTTCACACCCAACTTAAAGTTATAAAGATTGGTCCCGATACAGAAGAAAGGGAAATTTCGCTCTTTACATCCTTCCACATATTGTAAACTGCTGAAGAACTTTGATGTTGGTATATAATGTGTTAACTAAATAAAAATCTATTCCAACTCTCTTCTTCTTCTTGAAATGGCATCACTAGCTCCTGACTAGCTTTGAAAAGGTTGAGAAAATCTGTGCATTTTGCTGAAGCAACAACTCTCCTTCCATAAGGGAAACTCTACCACAAGTCTTCCTATGGTACTCTGTCCAAGGTCCTGATTCCTTTTGCCTTGACTACATGGGAGCTTGTTGTACCCACCTTTAGTTGACTTTCCCGAGTAGGACTTGGTATACCAATATCAAATCCTTGAGAGTGCTGCCCACCAACATGAACAAGACTGATGGACACTGGTCTCATTTTGTAAAAAGCAGCTTCCTGAGTTGCTATTTTAGAATAAAGATTTCTTTTCCTGACAAATTTGTGAAAAAGAGGCACTGCCAAAAATGTCCAGTACATTCTTAACATTGCTGTATTGTGCTTCTGTCAATTTTGGTATGAAGCACGCATGCAAGAAAAAAGGACAGGTACATTGTAGATTACAAGCATATTCTATCCTGTCACTTTGCCCCCTTGACAAAATTCCTACTTTTTGCTAGAGAATTCTAAAGTTGTGAGATGGAAGATGTACCTTTGCAAAAGTGTGGCTATTCTTCTGCGTGCTTCAGTTGATATTTAACCTCTATTTATTTTGCAGTTTTGGAGGCTGCCCAACTCCCGACGACTCTGGGTAGCATACAGCTTAAAAAGGGTGATTGATTGTGTGCCATTAAGTCATTTTCAACTACTAGTAACCACACAGATTTTCTCCATGATGATCTATCCCTAACCTGTTCTTTCAGGTCTCCCAACAGTGCATCCATCACCACTGTAACCGAATCCATCCACCTTGCTGCTGGTTCTTCTCTACTTCTCTTTCCTTCCACCTTTCCAAGCATTAAAGCCTTCTCCAGAGAGCTAGGTCTTCATGTAATGTGTCCAAAGTAGGGTAATCTGAGCCTGGCCATTTATGCCTCAAGTGAGATCTCTGTGTTGATTTGTTCAAAGATCCATTGGTTTGATTTGGGAGGGAGAACAGTACCAAAAAAGAGAAAAAAAGATAAGTGGTGTAAGATAAACATATACCCAAAGACTCATCCAACTGGGACTCCACCCCCAACCTACCTGTAACAACAGCTTTCTGAACTTCACCAAGGTGGGAGCCATCCCTATCTCTAGGGAGACGCTATTCCAGAAGGAAGGCGCTGCAACAGAGAAGGCACGTTTCCTGGGTCCCACTTTGCTTAACTGATGGGAACTCAAGTGCCCTCAGCATATTGCTGCTTTAGTGGCTAGACAAATCTTCTGAATTTTTTTTTTTTTAAACTGCGCTAATTAAGGATATCTCACAGCATGTTTGTGACTTTATAAATATGGTCACTGCTGCTATTCCTCTTGGTAGCCTTATTATAGCTGTAGAGGGAGAAAAAAAGAGGGCTAGACTGTAACCATTAGCTATGCCACTCAAACTACAAGGTAAAGGCTCTTGAGTTGAGCTTGAGTATAGCCTGGTGACTATACAACAAATCCATATTGTCGTCATGAGGTAAGGAAGTTGTTTGCTACTTCCTTTTTCCAGGATGTTTTCCAGGAAGTCCAGACTAATCCACCACTCAGAACTTTCCTAGTGGTTCCCCATCCTAATACTAGGCAGATGTGACCCTGCTTAGCATTTTTAAGATTAGCCAAATTTGGTTAAACGTTACCACCTGCTGTGGCTCTCAAATTAGTGTCTCAAATGAATTTAATGCAAATGGTGCACTTATCAAATAGTAGAACATATCAAGTGATCACATAATGTCTGAAGTAAACAACAGGAAAGTTGTTTACCTACAATACTCCTTGAAAAAAAGCAACATGAAAAGTCCACACATCTTATTGAAAGTGTCTTATATATTTTCATATTTATATATTGGAACCACAAAAAGTACAGAAATGACTACAGTACATAAAATGTCCAGGGGGCATCTCTGTGGACAAATTAACTGAGTGAAATGGGACAGAGAGCAACAATTCAGAAAAGAAAACTGCAAAAATAAACACTGGGTAGATCTAAGAAGTATAAAAATAGAGAATGTAAATACCACATACTTAAAATAGCTGGAGCGTACAATTTTTTTAAAACCAACTATCTGGAGTCCTTTGCAAACACTTTGTCAATTCCTCCCCCCCAAGAAATTTATTATTAATATGCCAGTATTGCTTAGCAAAGCATTTCAAGTGTGAGGCGGAATAGAAAAACCATGCTCCATTGACCCACTATATTTTCTCCTCCAAAATCAATCACCAAACTAGCCTGAACTCAGTTCTGATTAGGATTGGCAATTATGAACCCAGGTGGAAAAGGTGGGGAAAAATCTCTCTCTCTCTGTGCAATATTGACATTGCAGGAGGAGAACTATGGTAGACCAACATGGCAAAGCTTATGCCTTTTAATAAAATGTTGGTCAGAAGAGGTGCTACCTGATTTTTCTCTTTGTGTTAGAAACTGAAGGGATCATTGTTCTCCCTACCCCCCACCCCTAGACCTGCTTTACTTGGTTGTGACTCTCCCAACATTCTTACGCAGCAGCTTTTGCTGTTCAAATACACTTTATTTAATTTTATTTATCTAACTGATATGGCTGCCCATCTCAACAAGTGATACTTCCACTTTCCTCTTTTCTGTGATAGCATATTCTCCTTTTCCTGATCCCAGGAATGTAGAAATGGAAGTGCCACTGCATAACTCTCGTCTTCTTTTAAATTCTTGCTTGCACACTCACCATCCAAGCAAGAAGGGCATCAAGTCCGAAATTTAGCCTGAAGTATTGCTAAGCCAAGTTTGTTTTCCTTATAGTTTGATGAAAAAGCAATAACTAGCTTGGTTCACCCCACCCACTGCACTAAGCTACAGACTGTGGCCTGATAATACACTATGCTAAGCCATGGTTTATTTAGCATGAAATACTGAATAAAGCACAATAAAGCACACTAGGTCCAAGCCAAACAAACTATATTATTGCTTAATCTGGCTGGTGACCTGGATCTGATCACCCAAAATCAGGCAGCATTGCATATTGCTGGAAGAGTGGCCCAAGAGCTGTTAAGTAGCAAATTCTGTCCAGCCAAGGCCCACTTTGTTGTCTCTCCAAGGTTAGCAAAGACTTAGTTTAACATAACGTGTAAACCTATTTATTCTGTTGCAATATGGGCCGGCCACTCACCCGACGTGTGTTTAGCTTGTTGTGTGAATCCTGCCAATAAATTGTTTGCTGCACGGGCTGGGAACATCACTTGGAAACACACTGCAACTTATTCAAGGGCCCAGCTGGGAATGGATGCTTATGAGATTAACGTTGCCGGTTACGTGCCGACAGCGTCCTTCAATTCCGAAACATTAGCCGAGCAGCGCTGCAGTGTAGAGACGCCCGTCGGGTGCTACGCCTGCCCCGCGCTGCCGCCCAAGAAGGATGCGTGCGCTCGGTCTTTTGTTCCTTTGCAAATTGAGGGCGCAGAAGAGCGAAGACTTCCGATCGGATCTCGGAAAAAAGTGAAGCCTCCCCCTCCCCAAACAACTTCGCGAACGGCTCATGGGTGGGGCGGGCGAGCTTCTTCTCCTATTCCCCCCTCCCCAGGACATCCTCCACGCAGGCGCCCATTTCCTCTCCCTCGTGGAGATCGTCCCCGACTTCTCGCCGCTAAACCCGCTTCCCCTCTTCGTCGTCTGGCGCAGCGGACGGAACTGCAACGGGAAGAGGAAAGAGCGAGGAGCAGGAGAGGCGGAGTTCGGCCCTTGTGACGCCACGACAATTTCGCCTCCCCCGGCTTTTTTTTCTTTCTTTCTTTCTTTCTTTCTTTTTTTGGTCGTTTTGTTAATGAAAAACCGTCCCGCGCTCCTCCCCGCTTGGGCGCGCGCGCCCGCCCCGGATTGCCCAGCCAAGGAGTTTGTGCGTCTCGCGCGCGCCCCGGCTCGCTCGCCCCTCGGAGCCGGGCCTTCGCCCCCGTCT